CAGCACTGTGACAGGGTTCCCAGCATGCCCTCTGATTGACAGCACTGAGACAGCCCCCCAGCATGCCCTCTGATTGACAGCACTGTGATGGGCCCCCCAGCATGCCCTCTGATTGACAGCACTGTGACAGGGCCCAGGGAAAGCTGTCACTGGGTAACTGCTTCCTCTAGATTAAATATTCCCTCCTCAAGGGGAGAGAAGAGACTCTTCAGTGGAGCCGCCTACAGGTTGTGCAGGGATGCAGCTTTCATGAGTTGGGGTGTGCTTTTTGGCCTGACTCACCTGTGCCTCCATCAGTAACCCTAATAAACCCTCCAAGCTAGGTGTTGATGGAAGCATTTTTTTTTTTTTGCCAATCGGTGCCCCCTCTACCTGGGGCAGAACAGAAATAGATTCCCCAGGATGAAGACATCGACTCTGTGCTCCTTCAGTGAATGTCCAGGAATGGCTGGGGCCAGCAGCACCAGCAGCACCTGGCTGCTTGCACTGGAGCTCGGATTTTCTGCGTTGAAACACGTGGTTTCCCATGATTCCCTGCACTCCATAGTTTGAGGGGGTATTGGGTAATGGAGTCCTCCTTATCTAGGTGCATCAGCCTTCAAGTCTGGGACTCACTTTCTGGGGCACTAGGGGCAGCCGCTTCACCTCTCGGGGCTCATCTCCTTGTCTGTAGAGGACAAACTGTGGCCATCACTGCCCTGTAACTTATTAAAGGTTGAGAGAACCCTAAAGAAATCTTGGGGTGGGATAGCCTGGAAGAAGAGATTGGGGACTGGTGTAGCCAGGGCTAGGCCCTAGGGCTGAGTCCAAGAGCCCTTTCACAAGCCTCCTTGGTGGGAGGACAGCTCCATACCCTACACTCAGGTCCCGAGCCCCTTCTGGGACCATCTACTGCAAGGATTCGCCTGTGACACCCTGTACCAATATCCCCTCCTGTCCATCCTGCAGACCCTCACCGGACACAATGAGTAAGTGGCAGAAGGAACTCTTTAATAGCATAGCAACATTAGGTTTGGGAGTCACTGGAGGAAACACTGCCTTCCAACCGTCGGCGGGGCTGAGGCGTGTGGCCAGATTGCACACTCTTAACAGACAGATTTCACACTGGGAACTTAATAAATAGATACTCAAAGTGTCGAACTGCAGAGGCAAGGGGTTGTGTGCGTGACTGTTTTCTCGTTCCAGCTCCTCCGAGCAGGACTGAGAAGCTGGCCCACTAGGACGGGTATTCATAGTCCTCAGCGCTGCGCCGGCCAAAATCCATCCAGCCCGTGTAGTCCCGGTCACTTATCCTGTGGCTGGGGTCCAGGTTCTGCAGCGACTTAAGAACAGACATGCGGCCAGAAGGAGCTGCGGGTAGAAAAGAGGAAGAAGACAAGGGCTATCGATCTGAAAGTATGGCTAAAGCAGGGGGAAAGCCAGTGTGTGTGTGTGTGTGTGTGTGTGTGTTCAGTGTACATACACACATATATACACATACATATATATATATACATATATATATGCATATGGACACCTGCGTCTTCCTTAATCTCTTCGCCCTATCATTGAGACGGAGCCTCTACTGCACCTGGAGCTCACTGCTGGCTGACCAGCAAGCCTTAGGGATCCTCCTGTGTCTGCATCCCCAGCACTGGGATTGTGGGCACACTGCACACCCAGTTTTTCCACGTGGGTTCTTGGGGGTCTTTCTGCTTGTGCAGCAAGCATTGACTGTCAGAGCCATCCCACCAGGTCTTCTCATAGGCGTTATATAGCTGCTGCGAGGCCAGGAACAAACAGAGGAGGAGGAACCCCTGTGTGAGGGTTTAGATGGGTTGGCTTCTCCCTGCCTTGTTCAGCCTAGGAGCTGTCCAGGTTTTCCTACCCAAAACATCACTCCATCGCACTCCCGACGCTCATCAGAAGCCATGAAAAGATCTTCCCAGAATGCACTACTTCTAAATGTCGTGACTTAACGTCCCAGCATGCTTAGCTCATCGGGAGCTTTCTGGGACTACAGCACCATGCTGCAAAAATAAGATTTTTAGAAATGAAATCAAGGAACCAGGGAAATAGATGACTCGGCGGGTAAATTCCTTGCTGCATAAACCTTACAACCCAAGTTCAGATTCCCGGAATCCACACTGGACCAACTAATGCATGTCCTGAAATGGGAGGCGGAGGCAGGAAAGTCTCTCAGACGCTCATGGGCCAGGCAGCCTGGAGTATGAAGTGCGGTGACAGACCACAAAAAGAACCCCGCCTAAAACTAGGTAGAAGGTAAGGATGGGCCAGCACCTGAGGTTGTCTTCTGACTTCCACTGTACACACACACACACACACACACTACACACACACACACAATACACACGCACACATAATACACACACACAATACACACGCACACATAAACACACACACACAATACACACACGTGCTCCCCACATAAGTTTTGTTTTGTTTTGTTTTTTTTTTAGAACAAGGACAAGTCAGATGCTCGGTGGGTAAATATGACTTTTGCCAAGCTTGGCAATGTGACTTTGAAACCCTGGACCCACACAGTGAAAGAAGAGAGTGTTGTTGTCCTCTGAACTCTACAGGCCTCCCATGGCATGCTCCCTCATAAATAAATGTCAAAAAAATGAAATCAAGTTCTCTTTCTACATGAATATGCTTCCAAATTATTCATTTGAAAGCTCCAATCTTTTAAATATAATAATAACCAGAAAAATACACCCCTGTTGGATTAAAATACTGGCATCTTGGTAACATTCATAGAAACTGAGTGAAAAGTCAGAAAAAAAGTAAAATTTAAACCAGCCATTTGGACCAAACCACAGCATTGTAACCTGCAGCAGGGTCCAGCCTGTGGCAACTGTGTGATCTGGGCAGGAAGGGGTGCGGTGACATGAGTTCCTTCCTCTGTGGGCAAATGACACGGTCCAGCCCACAAATGGTGGACAGTGGCCTCCTGGATTTGGAATCAGTGTAGCTCCTTCTATGGCGACTAAGGGTAAAGAGAGGCCCCTGGGGAGCCCTCTGCTCTGGGACCACGGTGTTCCCACCTTCGGGAAGTTTGCAGGCGGCTTCCCTGCCAGCTCCTGCCCCAGGCTAGCACAGCCAGAAGGAGGATTACTTGGCCCATGCTCCAGTAAGCAACGCTAATGAGACCCCTTGGTAGAAGATGGGTTGGTTGGGAAGAGGACTAGGAGCGAGGGCAGTGGGGTGAGTGTGATCTGACTGTGCTCTAGATGCATTAGATGTCATAATGAAACTCACCATTATGGCATAATTAATACATATTAGTAAAACGTTTTTTAAGTGGCACCACAGAGGCAGTTTCCCTGACTTACTGCATAATGAATTTAACCAGCTAAACTTGAAAGAGAAATCATCGTGATGAATAGCCACCCATGTTTCATCGCTCTGACCCCATGTCTTCCCAGTTTGGGAACTGAGCCCACACGCTGCCTGCGTTCTTTGGGTAGACAGTCCTAGCTTGTGCTGAACAGGCCTGGCTGCTTCAGTACCCAGCTTCTCTCAGGTAGAACAAACATAGTCAGCAATATATGCAGCCCAGTTCCCTGTACCATCACATGAAAATACAGCTCATCCTACAGCCGGTTCGGGGATCAGTGTCCACTGTGAGGGCTGGACACAACCCATGCTTCTATCAAGCCAGCTGTCTGGCCAGTGGCTGGGCATTTAACCAGTCGTGGGAGCTGTGTTAGGAACTGGCCTCGGCTCTCGCATCCCACACAGATCTGTCATCAGACTTGGCGATATCACACTCCATCTGTCCCCAGCACTACACCGTGAAGGGACTTAGAACCAAGTCATGGGCCAAGACAAAAGGATCTGGCTTTTTCCAACCCTTACACCTGGAGCAGACAGGTGAGCTGGGAAGTCGAATGTCCTCCAGACCTCAGTGGAAGTCAGATGGGTATATATTCACCCTGCTGCCTCCTAGAAGAGCCAACACGTGCTCAGACGTTACTTGCTCTCTTTAGCATGGACTTCCATAAATGAAAAATGAGTGAGACACCTGCTGTACAGAACGGTTTTAAGGTCTGAGGGAGACCACATGGAGACAGCGTCTGAAGCTAAGGCTGTTGATGCTGCCCCACTTTCTGCTGGAACACACTTCTTCCTGGACCACTGATGCCTCGCCTGCCTCCCCAGGAATACGCTTCCTCGAGGACCCCTGAGGGCCCTGCGGACAAATCCTAAGGATAAACTTTGTTTCATTTTATATTTTAGTGTCTTTTAAATACAAGATCTCACATAGCCCGGACTAGCCTCAAACTTGCTGCACAGCAGAGTCTAGCCTTGAACTGATCTGCCCCCCTCCTGAGTGCTAAGATTACAGGTGTGCACCGCCACACCCGGTGCCATATTGTGCCAGGGTTGGTCTCAGGACTGTGTGCATTCTAGGCCAGTCTACCAGCTAAAACCAAACCCACCCCAACCACTCAAGAAGTATCTTGTGTAGAATCTTTTTATTTATTTATTTGATACAGGGTTTCTCTGTGTATCTCTGGTTGTCCTGGTGTCCTGGAACTCATTCTGTAGACCAGTCTGGCCTCGAACTAACAGAGATCTGCCTGCCTCTGCATCCCTAAGTACTGGGAATAGAATCTTTGAGAATAATATGCATTAGCAGGAAAACAGCCTAGAGATGGCTGTGGGATGAGCTCCTACAAAGGAAGAAAAGTAAGAAATCTCTTGATGCTTCTGAAGTCCCCCAGTCTCTGAAGTCCCCCAGTCTCAACTTCATGTGGATCTCTAGGAGACTCAACAAGCTCCCCAGTTTCCCCTCACTAGTCAAGCCCAATGCCCTGGGCTGCTCAAATGCATACAGGATAAATTGGGTAAGTGAGCTCTACAGAAAGTGTGCCCAGCTCCTGACTCCAGCTCTACTGGTCCAGTTTGACACACCCCAGCCAGAGATCACCATTCACCTCCCTGCCTGCAGATCAAGTCAGAGATGAAGGCTGTCTTGGTGCCAGCCATGACTCCTAGGTTGGGAGGGGATCTGGGCCGCTCTGTCCCCATCTGAAGACGAGAGATTCAGGCACAGGAAAGGAACCCTTAACTGGCAAGTAGCAATCATCCACGGGGTTCGTGGGGGAAAGTCTTCCAATGCAGAGAAGCCTTGTGGTGGTCAGCATCGCGGCCACCTTCCTGGCAGCTACAGAAATATAAGATATAGCTTTCCCTGTGTGGCCGTCCTGACTGGACAGCCAAGGGACCTCTGACTGCTCCTGGCCCTTTGACCCTTTCCTCCTACTGTGTAGTCGGTGTGTGTGTGTGTGTGTGTGTGTGTGTGTGTGTATGTGTACACAACGCCATCCTCTTTTCTCGGATCTCAGGCTTTCTCAGCACCAGACTCACTTCCTGCAGAGGGGTTCCAAGGGTCAGTGTCTGGTTGGTCCCCAATCCTGTTGCAGATACAGCCGAGAAGATATAGCCCTCCACCCATCTCCTCTCTTGGGTGCTGCAAACACCACCTGCCAACAGCACAGTGCAGTGCAGCGTACCTCAGGGAAGGAAGTGAAAATCTTGCTGTTGTGTGTCCCCTGCTTCCTTCCCCGGCAGGTGCTTTGGGGGGATCAGAATTGAAAGCCTGGAGTCGCAGCTGCAGCGTGGTGGAGAGTGGATATCCTTACCTTTGCGGGCCTGCTGGATGTATCGCGCTATCAGTGCGCCCAGGCGCGCTCGGGGCTCGCCGTCGGTCCTGAGGACAGCCGCCCTCAGCTGCCTTCGGGGAGCCTCCTCCGCCCGCTGCACCGCGGAGTCCACGGCTTCTGCCGGAGCCACTGGCTGCGTCAGGGCGCCCGCGACCAGGACTGCCATCAGCACGCACAGACACACGCCGCTCTTCATGGCTGTGGGGAGCGGAGACGAGGAGCGTGAACCAAAGGCTGACCTCGGCGGGCTCCAGACGAAAGTCCCGCACACCGAAGTCCGCCGAGGTGGAAGGCGGGGGCTGCAACTGCGCCAAACTGGCTCATGCCCTAGAGCTAGCCAAGTGCAGTCTCTAGCTGCGCCCTGGCCACCGCGCGCCTCGGGACACTTCTGCCAGGCTTTTGTGTCATTCGCATCCAGGGCCCAGGAATCCCGCAGAGACCCGATTTTCTGCTCGGTTCAGGAGTAGTACCTCCTGCTTTCCTCAAGTTAGAGCCTTTGTAGCTCATTTCTCTACTAACCAGAAAAGCACAGAGCGAGTGTGTGTGTGTGTGTGTGTGAGAGAGAGAGAGAGAGAGAAAGAGAGAGAGAGAGAGAGAGAGAGAGAGAGAGAGAGAGAGAGAGGGGGGCGGGGGTGAGGGGTGAGGGATGGGGAGTGGGGGGTGGGATACTCCTGGAGAGAAATGCAGGAGATTAAAAGCTGTCTCTACAGAAATGAACCGGACAACAATGGGAGGTACCGTTTAAAGTACGGGCGCATAAATAGAAGCTGTGTTTTTAATGGAGGTTTCTAGGCGTTTATACAGGAATGAACAAAAAGTCACTATGCAAAACAAAACCCAGAAATCTGCACCCAGTCTTGAGTTGTGACCAAAACCCCACATTTGAGAACTGAGCTGATGGGACCTGCATCACAACGATGTATTTCTATTCCCAAAGCCTTATTTTTTTTTCTCTGCAGCGTTTAGAAAATGGGTATGTCTTAAAACCTCTTGCTATTTTTCTTTTAAATGATTGCAAAGTGATCCGAACATCATTGGAACCCTAAGACATGACTATCCCAGACTTGTCATGAAAAGAGACCACACAGAGGAACAAGTCTCGCAGCGTACCCACCCAGATGCATTTTAGAATCCAGCGCCGTTATTTCTGACTTCAGGAAATCTCCCCAGCTGTCAAAGGAGGGAAGGCACAGAAAACAGAAAGACGATACCGCAAGGGTGCAAAGCTACGGGCCAATATTTTTCACACTACTGATTCTTGGATCGGGCAGCAGAGATGCCAACTTACCTTTGACGGGGAATCAGCTGCCTTGGCGGCTTCCAGCAGAGCAGGCTGCGGTCCAGCCAAGTTCAGGGCAGGCGGGAGGGCGGCTGCCTCTTAAATAGCCCCGCCCGGGCGCGCAGCCAGTCATCTGTTTACCCAGTGCTGACGCAGTCCAGCAGGACACGTGCTCAGAAGACGGCCCCTGGAGCGACCACCTATGGCAGTGGCCCGGAGAGAAGGGAAGCGGCTCGGATAGCCCCTCCCAGACTGGGTACCTCGTAGGGGATCTCCTTATCTAAAGAACTTCCTTCCCACCTGTCCAGCGCTTCCCCAGTCTCTTCAGGCAGGCCGTCCCCTCCTGAGTGGGAAACAGTTTATCTGGAATAGAGAAGGTGACCATGTTCAGTGAGCTTTGGGAATCAAGTGATCCTTCAAGGAAACTGGGGGACCTACACAGGCTTAGGTGTCAACAAACATAATTCTGGTATGTTTTCTGGGACCACCTTCGGGCCTGAGTGGGCTCCCACGCGTGAGAGAGGGGATTTGGGCTCTCAGTTTCTCGGAACCCAATCTCAGTTGGTGTCCTGAGTCTGTTTTCACACAATTGCAAAATTTGGGTATACTACCTGACTTCACGCGAAAGAAGCCCCTGGGAAAAGGCTCTGATTTCTTCCCAGGACGCCTTGCCTACCTGGCCACATCGGTTGCTGCTCCTGGTCGCCAAGTGGCGCCAGAGAGTTTCTTAGGCACCCCCAAGCTCTGGCCGGCTGAGCCATCCTGGCTTGGTTTGCACCTTTTCAGGGAGTTCGTGATCGCCCTTTTCAGGCCGGTCCCTCTAGAGTTACAGGCGGCTCAGCTGGTGATGAGGGTCTTGGCTGGGATAAGGAGTCTCACCGATCAAGAGGGAAGGGAGGCGCCCAATGGTGTAGCGCAGAGACCTCCCAGCCCCCCGTACAGTGATCTTCTGCACCCCGAAGTGCTAGAGTTTGCTGAGTCCCTCCGCCCCATTTCACAGAAAAGAACTCGGACTGGGGACCTAAGTAGCTCCACACCAGGCCCGTCATTGCTATCCTGTAACTTGGGGTCACCAGCCAGCCATGCCCAACCCGGCCCTCACCCCTCCCTTCCGGGAGAAAGGTTTGGAAACACTTTCTGAATAGAAAATGTACCCAGCCCTGGAGCCCTCCTGCTGAGGAGACCATGGGAATGCAGGCGCAGGGGAATCGGGTCCCTGGTGGTGGCTCTAGGGGGTCTCTAAAATCCAGAAGAAACATGTTCTAAACAACAGATTAAACGCTGTGGATTGATCTTCCCCACAGGCGGCTCACGTCAGAGCCTTTTCCCAGGAACCAAGCACATCTAGAAAACAAGATGACAAAGGGCTGTCCACTCCGGCCTGATTCTACCTGTGCTTTCCTTGGCCTGTGGACTGAGACACAGACATTTAGCTGACTCCTTCCCTCCATTCCTTCCCTCAGGATTTAGGAACCATGCCCAGTCCCAGGGGATGCAGTGTAACCAAGATCTGACAAAATAAATGCCCAAGAAAATAAACACCTCTGGGGTCTGGGGTCTGGGGTCTGGGGGGTGGGCGCTGAGGGCTAGAGGGTCGCTCGATTCCTAAAGTGCTTGCCTTGGAAGTGTAGGGACCTGAGTTCAATCCTCACTAAAAGCCAAGGAAGGGAGGAGTTATACCAGGAGCACACCCGGAGCTCAGTGACCAGCTAGTCTAGCCAACTGGTGAGTTCTGGGTTTAGTGAGAGTCTGTCTTTAACCATTCAAGGTGGAGCATAAAGGAGACATCTGGTGTGAACCTCTGGCTCGCACATCTGTATACACGTGTGAACCTCTGGCCTGCACATCTGTACACACATGTGACCCTCTGGCCCACACATCTGCATACACATGTGACCCTCTGACCCGCACATCTGTATACACATGTGACCCTCTGGCCCACATATCTGTATGCACATGTGACCCTCTGGTCTGCACATCTGTATACACATGTGACCCTCTGGCCTGCACATCTGTATACACGTGTGAACCTCTGGTCTGCACATCTGTACACCCAGGTTCACACATACAAACATGTACACCACATGTGACATGCACACCCGATGACTTTGAAGGAGTCTGATATTGGGAGCAACCCTGGAGCCAAGGTTGAAGTGGATAATCTGAGAAAAAATGTTCTTACCAGGTCAGGGAAAGATTGAGATAAGGGTTCTTGGGTCTGGTAGTGACATGGAAGGGTTCTGTAAAGTTTTTCTGGTCTGATAAGCCTTTCCACTGACTCAATAATCCAAATCAGACTAAATCAAACTAAATTAGAAAAGACCCAGGTTTAAAGGATGCCCCCACACACACCAGCCCTCCTGGAAAACACGGAGAAAGGGAAGGAGAACCAGGGAGACCACATGTTGATTCTCTAGGGGCAGTTTAAATAGCCTGTGGGAGTGGTCTTGACTGTTTGGTGGGCTTTCTCAAAGGTGGAATTTGGACTGAGGCATCTCCCAGGGGAGGGAGCTTAAAATGAAGCTTTCCACACAACATTCCAAAATGGGTGCTGGGGTCCTGGGGTGATGCTTCCAACCAAACAGTTCCTAGGGCACAGATGGGAGACCAGGACATTTTAGGAGGACAGGAGGTGGGAGGGCGATGAGGAATGAAGGCAGGCTTGTATTTAGTCTACCATACCTTAGTGGTATGTGCTGTGAGCTACCATGAAATGCAGCAGACACTACAGAAGTCCTAACTGCCTGTGACAGAACGGAGAATAGAGCAGCAGACATGGAACTTCCAGTCACGTGACTTCTAGTCACGAACACAGCCTCTTGCTCTTGAAGACACCCAGGGATAACTTGTTTGATCCAGAAGGTCAGGGTCTAGAGACAAGGGTGTGTGGATGTGTATCACTGACGTAGGGCACTCAGGAGGAAGGCTCACCAACTGGTGTGTGTGTAAGGTAGGGGTGGGTGATGAACCCAGGCTGTAGATGGACAGCAAGGAGGATCCAATCCATTCAAGGAACAATGAATGGGGTAAACACCAGGAGGAGCCTGTGAACAAGTTCTGGGTGAGCGGTACATTTCACCAAGCCCTCTGCCCAGGTGAGCTGACTGCCTATAAGAACTTCAGTGATTGCGTCACGGGTACAGCTCCCCATTATGACTTTCCTTGAGCCATCATTCAGAGCCCTAGTCATGGCCGTTTCTTCGCCCACTCTGCAGCTGACCTGATGTCCTTGTGACTAGGAGAAAGAAACATTTGAACTATGTTAACAGACCCCTAGCTGCCACCAACCGAAAGGCTAAGAATTTCATCAGGCCGGGTCTGAGGCCTGTGCAGAAACCTCTGCTTCGCTGGAAGCTGTCTCCTGATGCTCTCACCAATGCACTTGAAGTGATTTATGTTTTTTTTTTTAAATTTTGCTTCTATTATCTGAATTTGCAGTCCCTATACCACGGTCATGGTTACTCATCTTTTCTCCAGAATAAACTACCGCTTATCCCCTTGAGGAGAGAATTGTGGTTTATATCCACAGGTGGCCAGACAACACGGCACAGATGGGTTGGTGGTGGCTACTGTGCTGGGGCCCTGGAAAGGCCGACATTTAATTATTTGCTTATGTCCTTGAGGGACGGAGAGAGCTGGGGTATACATCATCTTCAGCCTGCCCCCTCTGAGAGTGGTTCCTGGTGTATCCATGATCCAGCTGGGTATGCAGAGCACAGGATCTCCAGCTCTTCTGAGAGAGCTATGGCTGCGGACAACTAGGAGCCGGGCACAGGCATTGCCATGCTGAGGTCAGAGGGGCATCCATAGGACGGAGACAGAGGGGCATCCACGGAACAGGAACAGCGGGGTATCCACGGAACGGGGACAGAAGGGCATCCACGGGACAGGGCCAGAGGGGCATCCACGAGACAGGGCCAGAGGGGCATCCACCAGACGGGGACAACGAGGCATCCACGGGACAGGACCAGAGGGGCATCCATGGGACAGGACCAGAGGGGCACATCCATAGGACAGGAACAGCGGGGCATCCACAGGACGGAGCCAGAGGGGCATCCATGGGACAGGGCCAGAGGGGCACATTCACAGGACGGGGACAGAGGGGCATCCACGGGACAGGGACAGAACAGTCTCACTACCTGGTCACCATGAACTCAGCACTTATTAGATTAATGCCCCACCATAGTGTTTAATGTACAAAAGATGCTCAAAAAATAGTTAATAGAACTTTGCACCACACCCGATCCCTCACTCACATTCAGCTGAGCACAAGCAGCAATGATGCTTGAACACATGGCTGCTCTTGACTGTGGACGAGCTGACCGGCTTCAAGCTCCTGCCTTAACTTCCCTTCCATAATGGACCATGGCACGGAGCTGCAAGCCAAATAAACCCCTCCCCCCAGTCACTTGTTAGGCTGTGTTATCACAGCAACAGAACAGAACTGGAACAGTGGTCGCCCAGGGGAAGGCTTGTGCTGGGTGGCTGTTTGATGACCAGTCGGTCCTGTGCACCAGGTGAGCCGTTCGTCCGTCTCACTGGCTGGATTTACACAGCATGTGCTGTAAACTGGAAGCTGCATGCTGACCCAGTCCCCACATGCCCGAGCTTACTGTTGGGATGAAATCTTAGTCTGGGATTACTGGATTCAAGAGGATATAGGTTTTCAATGCTGACAGCCATTGCCAAAACACCCTCGTACCCTTTCTCGCTCATTAATGCTTTGCTCAGCCAAGCTGGTGCCCGAGATCCAGCGCTCAGAGTCACGGAAGCTCACTGGCGGGGCAGACAGGATTTAACCTGGGGTTTTATCCCTTTCTGTGTGAATTCTCACAGTCTGTGGCAGGAGAGGCAAGGACGGGCAACACCTTTCTGTGTGGCTGGTAATGTTTTGGGGAATTTGTGGGGAAAAGCACACCCACAAAAACAAACAAAGCAAGGACAGATGGAACCTAAAGGAACAACGATTTAGGTTTTCTTGTCTTGGTGTGCACATACGCACACATGGCATAGTGTTTGGACGGTGGGAATTTCACAGTAAAGTATACCTTTGTTTGGATTGTCAAGGCTGAAAGGTTTGGGTCTGAAGGGGACACTCAGACAGAATGTCCTTGTGAGTAGGACATTTATTAAAGAGTTATTAATACCACAGACAGACAACAGCAGGGCAGGGGCTCT